CCCCCTGCCTCCCTCTGCCCCCCTCTGCCTCCCTCTGCCTCCCTCTGCCTCCCTCTGCCTCCCTCTGCCTCCCTCTGCCTCCCTCTGCCTCCCTCTGCCTCCCTCTGCCTCCCTCCCGCAGGATCAAGTGAGCTGATACTCTTTGAGAATGGAAAGAGAGAGAAAAGGTATGTTTCAGGATGAAATTTGAAAAAGGGCACTTAACCCGTCACAGAGGAAATAAGAGTTCCCCCAGCAGAGCGTACGTTGCTTTCTGAAAGCAGCCGGATTAATTCTGCGTTGGAGCTTGGTGTCCTCCTGAGAGGAGCCGATCTGTGTGTTTAGCCTCTGGAAGTATTATGTGTGTATCTGAGGCTGTTTAAAATCCCCCCGCCCCGCTTTACCTCCTACTATGGAAGTATTCTCTTATCTGATTAGTTTTAGTTAACATATGTGAATGTGGGTATTTGCTGACCTGTTGTGAAATACAAGTCTTTTTTTTTTTTTTTTTTTTGCTGCTTCAGACTTGTATGCCTTTCTAAAGCGTTAATAGTTTGCTCCAAAAAAAGCACAGGTAAATGTAGGCAAGGTGTTTCACCCTCATACAGACGTTTCACACAGACATGCAGAAACAGTGTCTTAATAAATCGGATATGGCTGTAATATGGTTGCTTGTTCACCAAAATGCGTTTATCAACAATAGAACGGTGAAAAAAGTTAGAGCAAGGTTCCCGTTATGCTTTTGGCTCACACTACTTATTAAAAATACCTATAAGCGTGGAAAATGTTTTCAAAGACACAGCCTTACTTTCTGAAACACGTTTAGCAAATCCTGCTCCCAAAGCAAAGCACCATGCGTTCTTATAACGTTATGTCTATTTAAGTTCCCACTTAACTGCGAGCAAATAACACAAGATTCTGAGCTGTTTTAAAGGAGAATTTTTCTCCCATCCCGTACAGTAAGACCATATACCTATCGATACAAATGCCAAATAACTGTGGTACTCATCTGTACAGACTCAAGCTCTAGGGTTCTGTGAAGTTTGCTTGGAGGTCTATGAGCCAACTACGTATATAGAAAATATGATAAAAGATAACCATACTCCAAGTTGTAACGATACATTTTAATTGCTGTTTGAAGTCCGGTAAGATCTAGTTATTTAATTGTACAATACATATAACAAGAAATGTGCCCATATTGTATTTAAGTATTTATCCATATTTACTTAGCAAACTGACTCAGTTATACATCTGTGACTCCTATTGCTTTTCATTTTGTATCATCATTATTTTTCCTGCCATGTAGCTTTGTAAGATATTTTTAATGCTCATATTATGTTGCGTAGATATTGAAAATACACAATTTGGGGGCCTATACCATGTTGGGGATGTTTTGTTACGTATTTAAGCTATTCAAAACTTGGACCACGAGCTCACTTAGTAGAGGTCCAAATCGAAAGGCATGCCACAAACAGACATAGGACAGCTACAGTTCCAAAAATAACGCATCTTTGTACGCGCTCACTGTCTAGCTCACTGCTTGATACTGCGCAAGATCACTTACTACTTGGGCCTGGCTTATTTTTACCTTAATGCTAATTTGCATTAAATGGGTAGTTAAATCTACAGTAAATTCTTCACAGGTTTCATATCCTTAGCAACTAAGCATGCTGTAGTTGCAGCAAAGAAGGGAAATGACGATGCCAAGTGCCGTGGCTCCCACGCTTTCCTTGAGCAGCCCTGTGCTAGGAAAGTGCCCAGAACCCGCGGCAGAGCAGATACCGGAAATTCTGGCTGGTAGGTTCCGACCAGAAAGACAGAACAAAATCTGTCGTTTAATGAGTATTTCATTAGGTACTAAGCATTAAAGAAGCATGCACACTAGAACATGCTGCTGAATATGATACAGACCAATAACTGATGGATGTTAGGTTTTCTGTGAATGAAATGGAAATAAATGTAATGGATTATTTTTGTGGAATGACGGTTTTTGTTTTTGACTGGGACTTCACTAAGGTATACTGCATGTTGTTCTTTATTCTTTGATAAAGTTTAGTGCTGGGAGTACTTCATATGTAGCAATTGCAATTTGAATGTGGCCATTGTTGTCAAATGTTGCAATATACAATATATAAGTTGCAACTTCCACTCTTTCTCATTTTTTAAAACATTTGCCTTATTAAGTTGCAGTTTTCCATTCTCGCTTTCTCCTTGAAGCTGGCTTGTTGCATCCTCAGACAGCCTGAACAAAGCTCCTTCATTGTATTTCTGCATTAGAAGACCTGGAGGAATATAAACACATGGTTTGTAAGTTTTGTACCTCAGATTAAACCATTTGAAATATTTTTATTGTCCAAGCTTAGAGCAGCATGTACCTGGTATAGAGGTGTGCAGTGTAACAAACCTGCACAAGTAAACTGCCTTTTGAGCTGCGTGTCCTTGGCAAAGGAATGCTTAAGTGGTTTCCTAAGGAAACCAGACTTACACACTCATCCTGTGTATGTTTGTGTTTAAATTAACCAAGTCAAATTTGACAGAGGGGAAGCGGTATTAAGAAATACATTTTCTTTAAGCTTGTGCAAGAAAGGGAGAGTGATTAGAGGAAAATGTTTTATTAATACCATTATTTCGGGAAAAGCTATGGGGTGAGCTCAGTTCTTGCTAGACGTTAGAGCATCTGCAGAGGGACAAGCTGCTCTAAGTAATTTACCTGCCAGAAGGGCTTTAATCATAGCTCACACCCCAGGGCGATTAATTCTTCAGCTAGGATTTTTCTCTGAGATGGAGTTGTTGGTATCTAATAAGAAACAAATTCCATCTGACTCTTGCTACATGGAGAGGGCTCTTTAAAAAGGCCTGTTTCTGTCTTTCCTTCATTCCCTCTTTTCTGATGCCTAATAAGCTGTAGGATGTGCTGCACCTTTTGTCTGCACAACTTAAAGGCCAGTTTTAAGATCCCAAATCACTGAAAAACAGACTTCTGCTGTAAACATATTTTTAAGATATATAGGCCGTGAAATTTGGCAGTGCTGTCAGCTCTCCCTCACTTTGGGCAGCTGGCAATTGAGTGTAGGTTTTTACATGTGAAATGTTACAGTGCAGGAGTTCCTCAGCAGAGTTTAAAGGGAAGTATGACCCCCTGTGGAAACACGACACTTTGTTTTGAGCTTATTGTCAGCAGTAGTGACTTAAACATTAAGTGGAAGCAAATTATCCACTCTAAAACTGGAGGGAATGAAAACTTGATTGGATCTAGAGGAAAGCGTACTGCCTTCTGGAAAGAATAGGGAGGTAAGTTATATTTATTTGACTGGCTTCATTGTTATTCTTACGCTTACATGAGGTTAATTGCTCTTTTATTTGCAAAATGTGGAACAGCCGTAGTCTTACAGTGGCTACATTCTCTTCCGAAGTTGCTTTGTGATGGGAAATTTAATGGGAAAGGTATGCTAGATTAAATCTTGATTTTTTAAAGGGCTCCCATAGCAGCATAGGGTTTTGCAACTTCAGGGCCATGCTGAGAAACTGTTATATATCACGTGGAAATTAAGAAAAAGCAGGAAAGAAAGACTCTTCAGATGCTATTTGCAGCAGCTAATACAAAATAGTAAGTTCATATAGATATATTTTGTCAAATATTTTCTGCCACTGGTATTTATTGTGGCATTCCCTTGTTTTGCTTTATAGATTATTGTAATGCTAGCACATCAAAAGGTAAGATTTTTCGTGATGACTGCTGCATTACAGAACGTAAATAAAAGTTATTATGAATAAACAGCACCTTTTAGACCACCACTGCAAGAAAATCTGTGCTGTTTTTTATTTCAATCTTGCACATCTGCGTGAATCTTAAAAAAAACAAACAAACAAACTTTTTTTTCTTAAGATATGTACAAAACTGTTTACTAGAAAGGAACTCTAATCCTTGGTAATTATTACCAAATTTAATAATTAATATGTCCACTTGAACTAATGATAGGATGAGGCTCATATAACTAGTGAAAGAAAGTGCATATGAAGTGAGAGTTGCAGAACAAAGGCTATGCTTTCAGGCTAAGAGCAAATTTGGAGAAAAACATTTTATTAGGTTAAAATAATTCCTTGCATTTCCCAATCCTAGTATTACCAAAACTAAACAAAGTGGGATTGCTCTTCTAACCTCAGACACTCCTACCTTTATGAGTCTGTATATATGCAGGAAGCATACATTACTTGCTATAATGTATTGTTTGTAAATTTCTCATTGTCCTATTGTTGTAATAAATGTCGTGATGACTATCTGTACTGCTCCCAGAGTGTTTATCGTTTCCTCTATTGCTAATAGCTAAAGATCAGCCAAGAAGAACTTCAGCTTTCCACTGCTAAGGAATTGCATGGATTTCTCCTTTCAATCTAAAGGAACGTCTTAAATAGAAAGCCAAATAACCCAAAACCTCTCCTGTTGCAGGAAACACTAATGTAGGTGTGTAAAATTGTTGATCTCATGATCTAGACTAACATTTTGGACAAAAAAAAAAAAAAAGCTGTGATGGGTTGGAATTTTGCCTGTTTAGTCTCATTGGATGTGCTTTTCAACTTTTCATTTATTGATATTAAAATTATGTTGTATGCTATCAAATCAAATGCAGAGAACTTACCAAATAATAACATTTATTATATGCTATGTAAAAATAACTGCAATCCAGAGATGATTTGATCATTTGGGGGAATTATTGAAAAATTTATAAATTTTCTCCCAAAAGAACATCAGTGAGAAAACTCTTTTAGCAGTCACCCCTGGGAAATACATATACACGTGCTGCATTCATGTAAAATAAGATTATTTTGGCCGGCAAATGGGAGCAAACGTCGTCATAGTTCCCACACAGAGGCGTAAGAACGTAAAGGCAGAGTCATCCCCGTTGTTCTTCAGTTCTTCCTCAAAATGTCTGACAGCTTCCCAACTCTATTCCTCACAGTGTACCAGGGCTAATGTTAATTATTTATAGTTAATATTTATTTGTTAACTTGAGTCTTTGTGGTGGTTGGTGTTTAAACAGTCTTGCGAAGTAGAGAAACTTCTATTTTGTTTTTGACTCATCTCAAGCGTTTATCACAAAGATGCATCTCAGCAAGGATGTAAATCAGAGGCTTCACTCAGATTACTTCTTTGTAATTTAAGCAGTTTCTTCCGTGTTATATCTCTTCAAATATCTTCAAATGCAGCCTTAAAAGTCTTCATTGGAAGCACTGTGGGAAATAATCCAGAATGTCTTTCCTACTGAAGAGTGAATTTGCAAAGTTGTCAGTTTAAAGGAGCATTTTTATTACAGATGCCACAAAAGCGCATTATGGGATATACACACAGAAAATGTAAGTTCAGTTCTGTACATATTTTTTCAGAGTAAAATCATGCACTAAGAAAAAAATTACAGATTACATGCAGCAGAAGTCCCCGTGTTCTCAGGAAACAGATTGATTTCCAGCGCTCTTGCTAAAATTAGTCTTCAAAGCACAATATAGATATAGTTAATTCTATAGGAATATGAGTGAAGCTTCTTATTCCAAGAATTTCTTTACATAACTGAAGTTGCAAAACAGATCTCACATTCTGCAACTCATTAAATATACAAAAATAAATATATTTCTGAGGCAATCAATGAAACTTTGTTCCCTAGTTAAATGCAATATCATTTGTTGCCTAAATCCTCTCTTCCTCCTTTAAAAAGAAGGATAATACAAGGGAGGGTAATGTGAAATATTGTTCTTTTTTGTTGCTTTTATGGTTTGGGTACTATGTTTCCTATTAAATATTTGCATGTTCTTAACAAAAGTACCACAGTGGCTTTCCTGTTTCCTTAGCAGAATGCCAAAAAAGTTACAGCAATGGATGTTGGTTGCAGTATATATCCCACTGGAGATAGGGGACAGGTTTGTATCAAACTCTTAAGGCCTAGCTACGTATTTTACATTTGGAGTGCCACGTACGAAGTGCTACTGTTCGTGCGGCAAGTTTCTCAACTTCTCCTGTTTTCATACAGGGTTTTATTCAGATGTCAACCAGTGATTTCGTTCTGGACAACTCTATATGTGTGTGTGTGTGTGTGTATATGTGTGTGTATATTATATATATATGTGTGTGTGTGTGAGTATGTGAAAGGTGCAGGGGGGTGCCCATAACGGCCGATTTGCAGGGTTACGATCACCGTCTCTCCGGTGTTACATGGTTAACTGTCAGACAAGGATTGTTTCTGTTCAGTTTAAACATCGTCCCATTGTACGGTAATAACAAATTAATGGAGAAGTGACGTTTAGCCGAAGGTGGCAATACGGGATAAATCGGGAGCGTGTTTCTGGGGCGATAGATGGTTCTGTTCATCTCGTGCAGGTTTAAAAAAAACCCTGCAAATTACGGGTCAGCGTCGGTGCTCAGGGCGGCAGCGCGGCTGGTGCCCG